CTCCCCACACGGTATTGTCCCCTGTTCCTCCCCACATGGCATTGTCCCCTGTCCCCTTCAAACACACAGCCCAGAAGATGGTGACAGTCCAGGTGCACCGACAGCAAACGGAACGCAGATTCCACCTCAGTCTTGGCCAACAAGGCCCCCCAGGCCCGCGGCCCTCACCATGTCAGCCGCCACGTCAAGACACATAAGATACTCGGCAGAGTACCGAAGAGATGTCATCAGTCACCGAACACCCCCTGGAGGGATGACAAATGGTGAATCAGACGGTACTTTCCCTGCTCCTCTTTGGATACCACCCCCAGGGGGGAGACCCGCGCGTCTGGTAGTGGAGGGCCCTTAAAGGGACCAGCCACGCGGCCCAGAGATTACTACCTTGCCCAGTTTTCCCTAGCCACCTGTGGGAACTCCCGAACCGACTAAAGGTTCCTAACCAACAGGGAAGGGGGGTGACTGGTGAAAAGAATCCACAACCCATGCACTAACCCGCCGAACAGGATGTCTGCCGCCCGACAATTCCTATAGTGGGCGAGCCAAGGGCGCATCACGCCTTCGACCACCGGTGCCGTTGCCTTCAGACCCCAAGTCCGCTTTCTCACCAATTTGCCCCCTGCTTAATGCAGTGGGAGACAGGATTGGCTCCTCCACAGGCTTGAAATGGCAGGATGTGTAATGGAGGGGTGTGTACCGCCAACAGTGGCCAGAAATGCTCCTCATGTTTCCACCCCCCTGCCCGCCATAGATACAAGCGCTCCAAATGGTGTCCTGTCCGCAGAATAACGCGGAGCACTTCGGCAGCACCGGTGTGCCCTATGCAGCCCCACAGGGACCACTCACCACCACTGGCCCGGGTACAGGTCCGCTGTTGCACTAACGGCGGAGAGGGCCATCCAGCTGCACCAGGCCGACCGGATTGCGCCGACTGTCTTCTGGCACCCCCAGCCCACTGTACAAGGCCGGGGGGCACTTCAGGAACCTCTGGGGGACCAGACCGCGTGCCAGAAGGCGCCAGGCCCGGGGCGCCACATCAGGGCTTAAACTAGCAGGTGGGCGTGATGCCGGCCAGTGCTCATGCAGCCCACAGGGATAGTGGCTGCGAGGTAGGCCCCAATAGAGGCCTGGCCATGGGGAGGAACTGCCCGGTGGCCAAACAGGGTGAAGGTGAGCAAATTGCTTACTGAAGTACCAGCCATCCAGTTGTTTGCTGGCCAGAATCCCAACAGGCACTGAGGTAAACTGATC